GGGAATTTTTTCCCTTCCGGGGCCGGCTGTTTGAACGACCCGGACGACGTCGACGTCGGCGCCAAGCTGGCGCGCGGCTGCGCCTGGGCCTACGCCTCCACCGACAGCGGCGTCATGCCGGAAAAGTCGCAGATGCTGCGTTGCCCGAGCCTCGAACCCTGTGCCTGGGACGAGGCGCGCTGGCTCTCGCTCAGCGACACGGCCACCCTCACGGCCATGGTCACTGGCGACGACGATACCGCGACCAAGAGGCCGGCACCACGGGGCCACTGGCGCGTCGACGACCCGCGGTACCTCTTGCGTCCCGAGGCCGTCGAGAGCCTGTTTGTGCTGTACCGGGTCACGGGCGAGGCGGAGCTGCAGGACATGGCGTGGGACATGTGGCAGGCGATCGAGAAGGCGACGGCAACGGACGGGGCGTTTGCGGCGGTCAGGGACGTGACGGCCGAGACGCCGGAGCAGGCGGACGAGATGGAGAGTTTCTTCCTCGCCGAGACGCTCAAGTATTTCTACCTCCTCTTTTCGGATCCCAATTTTATGAGTCTGGATGACTGGGTGTTCAACACGGAGGCGCATCCTTTCAAGAGGCCGGGGACGGCGTGGGTCTGAGGACAGCTCATGAAAGAGGCGGGGTTAGCGGGCATGAGGAAGGTGCCTGGGAATGGTGGATGTAATGGTAATGAGGGGCGAGCCGTGTAGCTCCGGAGGTGGGGAAGGAGAGAGAGCAGGGTGCCGGCACCACGGGGATGATGATACCCAGACGCAGACCATGTTGACGTTCGGAACGTTGCCGCGCATTTGTCCCTGTGCATGCGTTCCCTATGCACGCCCACAGGCATAACCACAGGCCTAAACTGCAGGCATAATCCAACAGACCGTACCAGATTCGAGTTCGTCATTCATTTGTCTTGCTTAAGAAATGTCTATATGCTCCCTTTTTTTTTCTTTTCTTTTCTCCCTCGTGCGATGGTCTGCGTCCACAGCCGCTACAGCTGCACGTCCTCGTCGCTGATATCGGCCTCCTCCTCGACGTTCTGCTTGAAGATGACGCGCTCGGCGAGGGCCAGGGCGCGGCGCACAGGCAGCCCAATGACATTGTCAACGCCGCCGTCGATGCGGTCGACGAGCAGGATGCCGCCCATGCCCTGCAGGGCGTAGCCGCCGGCCTTGTCGGCGCCCTCGCGGGTCTTGACGTAGGCGTCGACGACGTCGTCGGGCAGGCCGTCGCCCTCCTGGACGAAGAAGACCTTGGTCTCCTCGGTGTGGGCGGCGATCTCGTAGCCCGGGTGGGCGGCGTCCTCGCGCGGGGCGATGGCGACGACGGAGGTCAGGACGCGGTGGACGACCGTGTCGCGCAGGTGCTGCAGCATGCGCAGGTGGTCGGCCTCGGAGCGGGGCTTCTCGAGGATGCGGCCGTCGCGCGTGACGATGATGGTGTCGGCGGCGAGGACGAGGTCGGGGTCGGGGATGGAGGCGAGCGAGGTGCGCAGGGCCGTCTCGTAGACGTCGAGGGCCTTTTGGCGGGCGGTCGCGGCGACGTATTCGTGGGGGGCCGTGGGACTTTTTGTCAATGTTCTCGGGCAGGGAGGAGGGGGTGATCTCGAGGTTCGTGAGGCCGACCTGGGCGAGGAGGGCCTTGCGGCGCGGCGAGGCCGAGGCGAGGATGACGCGCTTGGACTTGAGGTGGTCGATGATGGGGAGCTTGAGGGGGGGCAGCGGCGTGCCGGCGGGACGGGGTTTGGGAGCGTCGGCCACCTTTTCGGCCATGTTGGCGGGGGCTCGAGGGCTCGAAGGCTTGAGGTTGGTTGAAGGCAGCGATGTAGGCGAGCTGAGGTTGTCGATGGATCGGACGAGAAGGCTCACGCTGCCGTGGTGTGTTCTTGGGGTGAGGCAGGTAGGTAAAGCAGGTCTGGAGGTAAGGCAAGATGGGTAGGTTCTTGGGAGTTGAGGTTGCACCAGTGACGTGGGCTGCCGCTAGGTAGGTAGGTAAGGTAGGTACCCTAGGCACTGTAAGGTGATGCACCGAGCAGGCCGGTTCTAGTGGTCAGGGACCTACCCAGGCCTGCAGGCTTGCAGACACCAAGCACCAAGCACCAAGACCCCGCCAAACCCACCCACCCTTATCTAATCACCGCTAGAAGCCCCCCCTAATGAGACGATCAGGGCCTAAGGTCATCTGCAGGCACCTCGACCAAGCCCCCCCCCCCTCCCCTGGAAGTCCCCTGGAAGCAAAGGCCCGGCGCGCGCTGCAGGGATTCGAGTCGTGCGGGCCGGGTCACGCTCTCTCTGTTGCCCATGTCCTACGTCCCGATCCGATGCCCAAGTCTCGAGCCCCAGACTTCTTCTTCTTCCTCCCCCAACCCCACGAACGGCCCTTTGTTTCTCGCCCCGACATGTGAACGGAGAGACTGCACCATGGCCTCCCCCGCCAAACAGGCCGAATCCCCCGCCGCTGCCGGCGACGCCAATGCCGACGGCGACGACAAGCCGCGCCTGACGGAGGCCGAGAAGAAGCAGAACCACATTGCCTCTGGTGAGTCTGACATGTGACGCCCCTCGGCCCCCCCTCTGGAGCGTCACTCTCATTACGCGACAACCACCACCACGAGAACCTCCCATCCTTTGCTCTGGGCACACCATGGGCTTCCTGCATCGCATGGCAGACACTGACACGCCGCGTAGAACAGAAACGCCGACAGGCCATCCGCGAGGGCTTCGACCGTCTGACCGAACTCGTGCCGGGCCTCGAGGGTCAGGGTCGCTCCGAGGGCCTCGTCCTGCAGCGGACGGTGCGGTACATGCGCGAGCAGCTCGAGGCGAGGCGCGCCCTCGTGCGCAAGGTCGAGGCCGCTGGGGGCACCGTCGACGACGCTGACCGGCGATAGCGTGCGTGCCTGCTCGGTGCGTGCCTTCTCGGTGCGTGCCTGCTTGGTGCTCGTCCTTCGTCGTCGTGCCGTGCTGCGTGGGATGGAGGAACTCGATGAAGAGGGAAGAACAAGACAGACACAGGCGCATTGATTCTGACATGACGGGGATTGGGTGGCTCCGATGTGCTTTCTGTCTGTTTATTTTTATTCGTTTGGAAAAGACCATGTGTGCTGCTTCCTATGATACAATGCATCCATGACATCCATCGTACACGGTGACCCGATGCCACGCCGTACACACACGGGCCCACGTCGGCCCACGCACACTACTGGTACTTGTCGACCAGTTCCTTCATCCGGCTCAGCAGATCCGTCGGCGTCAGGTCCTCCCTGCTGCGCGTGGCCGCGTCGCGGCTGTTGAGCGTGACCGTGCCCTGCTCGACGTTCTGCTTGCCCACGACGAGAATCATGCCGTACTCCTTCGCCCGCGCCTCGGCGAGCTTCTCGCCGAGGGGTCGCGTGCTGGCGTCCACATCCACCGTGAACCCCGTGGGGTTCGGCTGCGAGAGCCCGGCGTCGGCAGCGCCCTCCTCCCCGATCCCCAGCAGCGTCCTCTGCACCTGGGCCGCCCAGTCGACGACGGGGTCCGTGTCGTTGAGCGTCAGGATTGCCGCTTGCCGCGGGTTCAGCCAGAATTTCCATTTGCCGTTGTACTCCTCAATGAGCAGCGTTATGAGCCGTTCGACGGACCCGAGGATGGCGCGGTGGATGAGCACGGCGTCACGGGCCCGTACGTCTCGTGGAACGCGGATCGACGCCCGCTAGCGGTCACGTCGTGGGTCTCGAG